GCTTTGATTTACGAATGGAGTGTAAGGCTTGTCCTGAAACAAAAACCTTCATTGTACAACTAGTTGTGCTTAATAGAAATACCGCTAACACTTATACACCCCAATAATTACATGCGTAAATTATACCGTGAATGGGGCGAAAGCGGAAGCTCGACGACGACGTTAACTTTTGTGGAACTACAAGATGATGCGGGTTGCGTGTACAAAAAGCATAGCTGAAATCGTTGAAAGGATTTCTTTTAGCTGCTAGTGAATGCAATAAGTATCGTGAGGAAAATAATCTCTGCCCCTGAAATACCCTTTAACATTGGACCATTCAAGTGGAAACAATGACAGCTTTCCTGAATGCCTTTATTCCTTCTATTTGCTAGAGAAAGAAGCACACAATTTGATGATCATTCACAGCTAAATAAGAACACATAAATAATTAAAAGGATTTACACACCACAAAATGGTCATGGGAAAAATCGTTTCAAAAACTAATGCAGTATAGGTCCAAAATAATGTGCAAAACGCATTTTTTTTTCGAACCCATATCACACAAAATGAATGAAACTGTACTGTTCTTCGAAAGCTGAGATTCTCTTCATTTTACGAATAAATGAAATATGTTCGACCCGATAAACATAAAATAGGAGCTCGATGCTTTTGACCCATTTTTGGTGTGTACATTCTTTACGTTTATTATTTCGCATCAATATTTGTACAGGTTGTCGACTCAATGAAGAAAACGAAATTCCCTGATATTCCCTGATTTTCCAGTAATTTTCAAAAAAATTCTAGGTGTAGTGCCAACCTCATCAGCAAATACTTTTCTCAGATATATGTATATTAGTGCTTTCTGGACATATTTTTCATGAAATATCTAACTAAACTAAATAACATGTAGGGTAAACCGCTACTTCGTCGTAATCGCCCATTTCCGTTCTATCGATCAGAAAAGATCAATAAGATCAATGATATTACCGTACACAAATTAATAATAGGCTTGTTCCAATGCATTGGTTCATTAGCTACAACATAAACCCTATTAGAGAGCATTGTATAAATATGTACGCTCATTGTTCTCAAAACAAACAAAGCGCTCCTATCGAATCCTCTTTTTCTACGTTTATCCGTAGGACGAATAAAATCAACTGGCGTTTCAATGCTTTAGGACGGAATTGATACTCGTAGGACGAATTTAGAATCAAGAAGCAGTATTAGATTTTGAACAATATCTCAACAAGTTGTGACTCTTTATCAAATCCAACGGTACGTATGGAAAGGTGAATAAATTTAGAAGTCATCTTTGACAGAAATATTAAATTTTTTGTTCAAACCCGTTCAAAAAAGAGAGGTAAGGCGCGGGTTGAGCTTAGTAGGACGGAAATTAGATAAAAACCCCTACCTCTAACCCAGCACAATTTCAAATTGGATAAAGTTTTCAGCAAGTTCACACACTTAGAAATTATTTCCGACTTCGGTAATTTTTACTATTACTATTTTTTTTGGAATTATTTTCAATTTCAATAGCCTGTAAAATGAAGTTCAAAGTTTTACCGAACGTTCAGCTGTTCTGATTTCGGTAAAATTTGCCGAACACGAAAACAAAATCTTAGTGTGCATAATCCGTTTCTTACCAAGATTTACTCACTGATACGATAAGAGCTGGCAATTTTCTCACCCTGACTGCCCCGTTTTCTGACCGCTTCCGAACTCAGCCCTAGGGGCATACATTCATACCGATCTCCTTCATCGTCATGGTTACCAGCAAATCTCAATTAGCAATTTCCTGGTTCTATTCAGTTTTTCTCCCGGAATTTTGGAAATTTTCCCGGTTTAGCAATATACATTTGAATTAAGCAAAAAACTGAATACGAAAACTGAAGGTTAAATGGGTCATTTCTAAGACAGCAGCACCTTTGTTGGATCTTGAATTTGGTTCTGCGACACGTTCGAAGTCTTCGCTCAAAACTTTACAGACTTTAATTTGATTGAGCGTTCTTTTTTTGGAATTCTTCTAAAATAAATTTGAAATTCTCTCTGTAAATGAAAATGTCTTTATAAAAATCCATTTTTTTTTAATGTATGCTTAAATTCTCTTTGAATTTTTAACTCTTTCTAAGAATTCACTGAAGCTTTTTTTAATTTAAATTTAAATTCACCTCAAATTCTCGACCAACAATTGAAAAGGGTCTATTAACTTTTATGAGCAAAACTTGTAATCCCCCTTCCCTGCCAACACCATGGGCGTCAAGAATTGTCTTCACATCAGAATTATCTTGGAGTTCACCTATAAATTCTTCTGGAAATTACTAGGAATTCTTAATAAAATTCTCTAGAAACTCCATTCGAAATGCACTTGGTATTTATCACGAATCCTAGAATCCTCTTCAATCTTGGGAGTTCTAGTAAAAATTCTTTTAGAGATTTTCCTAAAGCTCCCTAGAAAATATTATTTGAAATACCTTGGTGTTATCTCTAGAATTCATTCTAAAATCTGCTCTAATTTGCTTTCGAAAAAAAATCTAAAATTTGCTTAATAGTTCTTCAAAGTGACTGCATCCTGAAAATCTAGTCCAGTCCAAGGGTCTTGAAATCTTGTTGTTTTCGAAGAGAGGACGAGGTATATTTTTTTCAGATTTGTCATCTTTTGGTTTTTCCTCATTGACTTCAAATTCCCAGCTTTTTAACGGTTTTCCCGGTTCACTGGTCAGTCTACAGTTTACATATGAAACACTTGATTTTAATCCCATTATACTTGTTTTGCCTTGAGCACATTTTGAGACACAGCTCCGCAAGAAAATTATTCCGGATAATAAACTAATTCGCGGGCGAATTCCTCCAGTGGAAAATCGTAAAAACAACGCTTTCACCTTTAAAATTTTGTAAGTTAATTCTATCTAAATTGCAATACCAGCAACATTACAATACTAAAACTTCACTGAGAAGCTAATTTTACGAGCTAAGCAGGTTTCCAATGAAGACCTAGAATACACAATCAAGCCACTCTATATGCTTGTCTACGTACACACTATTTTTATATCGCTGAAATCCAGCAAAACCAGTAATTCTTCCAGCAAAATATTTTCGCTGAACGACCAGCAAATGACCCTACGTAAAAGTGACAGCTTCTTCTTCTTCATATTTTAAGCTTATTGCGTGCCCTCAACTTAGTGTTCTAGATACACTACCCCAGTTATTAATTGAGAGCTTTCTATGCCTGTATCATTTTTTCATTTTAGTATAATTATGTGACAAGTAAAACTGTACTCTATGTCCAGGGAAGTCGAGATATTTTCCAACCCGACAAATTCCTAGACCGGATCGGGAATCTGCCACTTCCAGCATTGTCTTTCTTTGTAGCTGCGCCTTTATCGACTGAGCTAAGGGAGACCCAGTGACAGCTGTTTACTGGAAATCCAGCAACATTTACTGGATATCTAGCAAATTACAGTGGAAATGATATTGCTGAAAGACCAGTTATTTGTTACAAAACAATTGAATCTGCCTTGCTTTTCAAACTGATATAAAACTCAATTATATTTGGTATTTTGGTAACGGATGGAAATTTCACACATAAATCGCATTGATTATTCACTTTTAGGCGTTGTATTAATTTAAAAGTGATTAATAAGCTAGTCATGCTGCTAAGATTACAATAAGGAACAATAACTAGAAGTATTCAGAAAAAATCATCACTTTCTCTTAAAGCTGGGTTTAGACAAGGAAAGTCAATTGATTCTATATTGGCGCTATGTCCTGGAGGTAAAAAGTGAGACTTGTAGATCCAGCGACCCATTTCAAGAATTACTTCTCATAGTGCATTCTGAGGTCATGCAGCTTATATTTTATGGCACCATTTGAATACAATCCTCATATAAATACAAAAATTTACACCTCTGAAACTTGCGCGTATTTCTTCTTCATCTTCTTCTTCTTCTTCGCATTACAAGTTTATTGCTTATCGCATATTAGCTCATTGTATGCTTTCAACTTAGTGTCATAGATGCACTTCCACAGTTATTAGTTGCGAGCTTTCGATGCCTGCACAATTTTTGCATTAGTCTAATTGTGTGGCATGTGCAATCATACTCTATGCCAGGGCAGTCGAGAAATTTTCCAACCCAAAAAAAATACTAGACCAGACCGGGAATCGAACCCAGCCACTTCCAGCATGGTCTTGCTTTGGGGCTGTTCTTTAACTACGTAGACAGTTTTTTGGGATTCTTGACCTCCCCCCTCCCCCTGCGTAGACAATTTCCCATACAAAAAAATAAAATTTGTATGGGCCGTGGATGATTGCCACCCCCCCCCCAGCTGTCTACGTAATTTATGAACAGCCCCTTTGTAGCTGTGCCCATGCGCGTATTTAGTAGATGCATAACTATTTTCTTGAAATATTATTCATAATTTCGGACGATCATAGTTTTCCCCTCCAAATTTGCTTAATTTACGAGTTCTATAATTTTTGTTCTTCATCGTCTTGCCAGGCATCTATTAGCAAAACGCTATTCGCCATATGTAGTATCAATATTAGTATATATATATTAATAACAAAAATATAAGGATCTACCAAATACAAAGCATAATGTACAATCCTTAGAAGAAAATACACATTCAGAGCTGAAACTTAAATACAAAGGGTGTTCTTATGTAGATTTTAATAACCAATACAAAAGCATCTCCATCCGACAGAATGAATGCACCAAACAGAGAAATTAATCTAGACAGATAAATATTATATTTCATCTGGCGATGCAGCTGCGGCAGCGAGATAAAGGCAAGTCACATGTCGCATGATATGATTTTGTGGACGGAAAAAAACATTAGTTATTTTTCTGCTTATATATGTGGATATTGCATGAAGCAAATCCCTTTGTGGCGAAGATTGGTTATTTTTATTATTACACTTATGAATTACATGTTAAAACTTGTACGGCAAGCGCTTGATAATTCTAATTATCACCCTCATTTCACCCACACCATACGCAAGCTTAGTGAAATACAATACAAACCTTATTCAGCGAATAACTCCCAGAAAAAAAGACCACGCGTTGAGTGCAATGAATCACGCAGCAGATGAAGCCAGACAACGGCAACAGCAAGTGCAGACGCTGCCAGATCGTGTCCCAAATATGAACGTATGCAATCCTCTGCGGCACACACAGCAGACTATATTATGTATTGGAGGCACCGAAATCCTATAGATGGATGCTGAACTTTTATTATGCTTCGTCACTTTCTTCCCCACAACAGCTTCAAACTACTCGTCTGACGAAGAATGATTAATACACAGACTCACTCACTTCAAAACACAAACAAGAATTTCAGATGAAATAGCTCCTTTCTGATTTTGATAAGTATAACCTGTTATCTAGCACCGTGAGCCGTAAATCAAACCAGTAGTGCAAAACAACACTCGTCTGCTTTCTCTGACAGAAAATGAAACGCAACACAATATGGCAAACAATAGATGGGCACACCGAAATCGACACGATGCCGCGGAGAACGCCTTTCAAAATGCTGCTTTGAACTCCCAGTAGAGTAGCACTATTCTGTACTTTCACCTTTCCTTCGATTGGGCTGACTGAGTACAAACACCGGATTTATTAACGAAAAACGCGAGACCTATACACCATGAACGACCGAACGCTGCGAAGGTTCTTTGTAAACTGGTAACTGTACACAACAGCACAACGGATCTCTGTAAGCGAGAACGAACCGTCGAACGCAGTGTTGCCACATTTTTTACCGTGTCAATTTGAATTTTCACCGTAATTTTTTTTTTTAATCCGTATCTGACTGACAAAAATCTGTACAATAATCTGTATAATTTATTTATTATGATCTTCGTAAATTTCCTTTCAGTTCAATCAAAGTTCAAATAGAGTATGTTCAATGTTGAGATTCTTGAAAAATCATTTGATTTTGCTTTCTAATCTGTTTAAAAAATCTCAAAACACTGCATCTTATTTTTTCTTGTGATTTCAAGCTGAGATTTGCATTAGGTCCTAAGTAATATTGATCGATTCTCTTCGTCGACTTTCTCTTTCGTTATTAACTTGAGCACATAATCGTTTCTTGTTGTGTTTGTAATATTAGATGCTAGATAAAAGGTTCTTTTATCGATCTGTGGGCTGAAAATACCTGGGAATGTCTTTACATGGCCGTGGGGATACACAGAGAAAGTCGACGAAGAGAATCTGTCATTTTTTCTTAGGACCTAATGCAATGTTCAGCTTGATTTGTATCTTTTCTACAAGTATAAAAATACAAAAAAGAAAAGTCCCAGTAGTGAGAGACAAACCTGAAAATTTCGTTAGTGAAGTAACAATCACATTTGCCTAGAATGTGAATGTTTATATTCAAGAATACGAAAATCTTTATTTGGTAATTGTGTTTTTTTTTCAACTCAACAATTTAAAAAAAATCGAACATTACAATTTTATGAAGTATTACTTGTTAAATTTTAATTTTGGATGTTTCATTTTCTCAAATTTTTCTAATTAAATCCAATTCCAACTTTATTTTGGTAGTTTGAAAGGATATTTAATTCGCTTGTTGTTGCTCGAACCTGTATACCTTTGAAATAGTCCCATCTGTATTTCTCTATGTACGATCGTATTCATGTGTTTTATCAATTTTATTATATTTTGTCGCAACATAACACTTTTATTTGGATGTTTAGTCAAATTGCATACAGTATATATACAATGATATAACGCCATTCAAATGTCAAAATATCTTCGAGTCACAAACCGAAAAATTGAATTAACCATAAACGAAAAATCATATATCTGAACATCTGAACAACCGAAGTCCGTTCAAATTATCGAAGATAATAAAATAATTTGTTTTCCTTTATTAACGAGACTTTCAGCCTTAGGCTGGTCATAATAAAATAATGTTTTATTTAATGAAATGCAATTTGCGTTTGGTGCTCATAGCTGCTTTTAAGCATAACACGATTATTTATCGGAATAAATAAATATATTCTAGAGTCAAAAATATGGTCCACTTATTTGAAATATCTAAAAAATCTTAATGTAATCTGTATATCAGTATCAAAATATTAAGAAAAATATGTATGGTTACAGATTTACGTGACACTGCCAGAGACATTTAAGCTCTCCCAGCCATATATTTTGAGAAATCTGGCGAATTCCCTATGTTAATTTCAAAGTTCTGGCACATTTGCGACACTTTTTTTTGGGTTCTGTAATATATTTTCAAAATAAACCTGACATTCCTGGTCGGAACCTACACGGCAAGACGACTCATCTCAAAATTAACTCTTTTATACTCATCTTGGCAGCTAAGTGCAACCAGTTAAAATTGACTTTTTTACGAAGTACCCAATTTTAAGTCTTGAAAGACATCGTTTTGAGTTGAATGTAACTATTGAATGAAGAGTGAATATTGAGTAAAAATTACTTAAAGGTAAGTGTTCATTGAAAAAAAGGGGCACAAAAATCAATCAACTCTCAAATGAGGGCAACTAAATAGTTCTTAGTTCATTCAATGGTCCACTGTCCTCGATGCACTTCACGAACTGCATAATCATCAGCTGCCTGGCGGAGGCCATTTCGCTCATAAATGATCCTCTTGCCTGACCCAAGGCCTGACTAAAAATGGAGCAAGGATGAAAAATGCCTCTTCAGAGATTCCAGAAATCGCACGGAGATCTACAAGGAACGAGGTTGAAAATACCCTTACAATTTTTTTTTTTAATATTCCATTTACCTTCTTCGGTTTAGTTCCAGACGAGCTTTCAGCAGTAGCAATTTAGCCCGATACGAACATGGCCGTACATTGCGATTTTCCATTCAAAATGAAGTGTCATTGCAACACTTGATTTTGAATACTTGCAAGGCATGGAAAACAAAACAACTTAACATTATTCTAGAAAGCCCTCAAAAGTAACAACCCTCACAAGACTACTGTTTGAACACAATTAACATACGTGAAACTGCTTTGATTATACCTCAAGATTATGTTAAAAGTACTTTTTAATTAGAACAGAATTGTATCCAACACAGTACTGTTAACGGATTACTTAATGTTAAGTACTTTATATCTCGATTTAGAGTTGTTTCGTTTCTCCGTGTATACTAGCAGCAACAGCCAGACCCCAGACGCAAGGATTCCTTATATCCTGATTTTAAGACTAAAGAAAGTCTATGTAGGCCCTTAATCCTGATATTTTATTCTTAAGTATCTTGATATAGCAGAGATGAACCAGCCGATGGCTGAAAGTCTCTTTAATAAAGAAAGATAAAAGATAAAAAGATTTTGTTTTTTTTAAAAGCATGTCTGGCAGCCCTGCCCAGACGACGCTTTTATTTTGTTTTTTTTTTTTTCTTTTTTGTTTGTTGCTCTGTTGCTCGTCGCCAGTGCCAGTTCCCTTGGTGATTTGGGAATATAGCGTCGCGACGCTCAGGTAAAATGGGAGAGTAATCGAGATAATAGGATATTATAAGAGATTGTTTCTAAAGAGAAACGAGAATTCAAGAGAGAGAGAGAGAGAGAGAGAGATTGAGAGAGATTTCGTATCCGCCAACGCTAACGCTAACGCAAACTACATGGCATAGCATTAGGCTGATTACTAGGCAAAAAAAAAACAAATGTTTTATTTAATCTTGCAGCAATCCAGTAGTCCAGCAGTGCATTGAGTACAGGCGCAAAAAACACACTTTTGAACAATAATTTTTATCATCGGTTTCCTTGGATATTTTAAAAATATTTATGAATCACTTGAAAGAGATTTTTTCATATCGTGATTTTCATCTGCAGGGATTTTCATCTTCCAGAGGTAGAGTTCTTTGAATACATGGCCAATCATACCAACTCAGCGACTGATAATAATTGACTCAGAGAATTTTCTTTCCATACGATATTTACTCAGATTTGGAAGAAACTGCAGTTACTCATAAGCTATGAGTAACTGCAGTTTCTTCCAAATCTGAGTAAATTTTATGGAGATTGTACATAAGGGCCAATGTCACAACCGTAAACAATCGTTTCTTTCGTAAATTTCTCATAATTCAAAGTCTATCAATGTAAGCAACCATATCGGATAGGGGGACTCTCCCTCTACACAATCATCGTGGTGATTTTCTCGAGAAGTTCACGGAAGAAGTTATTGTTTACGTTTGCGACATTGGCCATTATGAAACAACAACTTGAAGTTGACGCACTTTGAAAATTTTCCACGAACCCATATTTGAAAATTAAATCAAGGCCCTGGAAAATTGGATGAACTTTACAGTTAGTTCATCCAAGATTCAAAAGACGTTCGATGGAAATAATTCCAAGAATATTCTGAAGAGAACAACTAGATAATTCTGGACTGTCCTTAAGGAATTCTGAAACGAATTCCAAGATAACTCTGTAAATAATTTCTGGGACTCTGCAAGGATAACTTCAGGTGAATTCTATGGCAATTATCAGGAGAACTTCATGGAGATTGTACAGGGTGATTCAGAATAACTATCACCGATTTCAGAAATAAACAATGAGTCTCAATGGGTAAAATGGGTATATGTTCAAGTATTTTTGTTTTAAGTGTGTACAAATATCAGCTTGTATTGATAGTAGGATTTGAGATTTCATTCGTTTTCGATTTCAAGCAGCCATGGAGCATTTCGTAATCAGTGTATAAATTCATGTGGTATCTTTTAAAAACTGAAATCTCTTCGAAATAATGAAACATTTATTTTTCGCATCACTAAAATAGCGGTAAAAAGGAACCATGCGTGGAAAAACCGTTCAATTTCAGAGCTTAGGCACATCTCCAGGACTCTAAAAATGCTGGAGCAAAAACGTGCGTTCCATCTGTGGCTGGTAATTAATGTGGTATATCTGGAATATACTGATATAAAAAAAATCATGCATGCGTTCAATCGTTATGACCATTTTTAAAAGTGACAATTATTTCGAATCACCCTGTAAGGAGAAAATTCTGAGCAGAATTTCAAAACTATGTCTTCAAAGGAACTCTAAAGAAAATTTGGATCATGATTCCAAAGAAATTTTAATGAAAATTTCCACGGAAGTCAGACTTCAACTCTAAGAGAAGTATGATAACAACTAGGGAATCTGATACTGAGGATAATTCCAAATGAATTCTAAGGAGAACATGAATTTTCCCAATAAGAGATTACTCAGGGAATGTTGAGACTCGTGCTGAGAAAAAAATCGTAGGTTATAGTAGTAGTAGTAGTAGTAGCTGAGAATAATATTCTAATATAGTTTTGGCTCAGAATATGTACAGAGAATTGGAGATTGTAAAGAGAATTCTTACAGAATTTTCAGAAACTTTCAACGGAAGTTTAAGAATATTTCGAACGAATTATTGATGAAAGTTCTATCGAAAGACAATAGGAAATTTGAAAATAATTATGAGGAGTATGCCAAAGGAATTCTAACAAGAATTACAAAGGCATTCTGACATAAGCTCCATTGGCATTTTGACAAGAATTCCAAACAAATTCTGAGACTCGTTCTAATATCAGTTCGAAAGGAATATTAATCTGAAGATTATTCCAAAGGAATTGTAAGGCGAGTTCCAATTCTAGTAATTATGAAGGCTAAACATATGGCTACGGAAATCCTGCCAAATATTTCAAAGGATTATTATAGAGCATTATGGAGAACAATTATGACAGCTCTGGTGAGA